AGCCTGTCACCCTTCCAGTCCTTTCAATACAGGGTACCATTTCTGCCCCAAAAAACTAGCTTCATCTTCTGACCAAATCTTTATTCATTATCAGAATGTCAGAGGTCTCACTTCAAAGCTAAAAAATCTTTTTATTGCCAGCACTTCCTTCGATTCGGACATAATAGCATTTTCAGAAACATGGTTAAACTCAACCATATCTGATTTTGAGATATTACCGAATAACTTTATTTTGTTTAGAAATGATCGGCCGACTCGAGGTGGTGGGGTGTTAATTGCCGTTAAAGCCACTCTCCAGTCTGAACTATTCTGTTTTAGTACGCCTACTGACGCTGAGATTGTCTCAGTTAAGGTGTCTTTTCCTACACGGAATATCTATGAAACATGCTCTTATGTCCCACCTTCTTCTGATATTCCTGACTGAATGACCTATTATTGGTGTTGGGTGATTTTAATTTGCCGAACATTTCTTGGTCATTATTCACTGCTGAAAATTATCTAGTGCCCTCAGCACAGCACGATTTTTTAGACTGCATGCTTGATCTTTCGTTGTTTCAAATCAATTCAATTTCTAATCATATGAATAGAACACTTGACCTTGTATTTGTTAACGACTACCTTATTTCTAATGTGTCTAGGTCCCCTGCTTTATCTCTTCCTGAGGATGTCTATCATCCAACTTTAGAGATTGCAATGCTAAATTGTAATCCTTTCATTTCGTGCTCATCAGCCAATAAGCCCCGCTATTGCTTCCGCAAAGGAAATTATTCTTTGCTGAATCAGCTTATTTATTCAACCGATTGGTCTTTCTTATATGACTCAGTTGATATGAATACAGCCAGTAATTCTTTTTATATCACCCTAAACTCCCTCTTAGATGTGTGTATTCCTAAGTCAATTCCTTCGACTACTTTTTCAAAACCACCCTGGTTTACTCTTAGATTATCACATCTAAAAAATGTAAAATCCAAATATTTTAAAAAGCTTAAGAAGTCTGGTTCGTGTACAGACTTGGCTAAATATTCCATAGCCAAGTCGAACTTCTTTCTTTTTAATTCTCAATGCTATGAGAATTATCTAATTCGTTGTAAAAGGCAATTCGCCCGAAATCCGAGACAGTTTTATAATTTTGTAAACTTGAAGCGTAAGTCTTCAAGTTTGCCATCTTCTTTTTTTCTTGGGATGGATAAAGCTAGCAATGACACTGATTCTGCTAACCTCTTTGCTAATTTTTTCCAATCAACTTACTCTTCAGTCTGTCCTAATACTAATTCTTACCCTTATACTATTTCTTCCGCTAGTTCTATACCTCCCCCCATTATTTCACACTCCTCTCTCCTATTAGCTATAAGCTCTCTAAAATCTTCTTACTCTCCTGGGCCGGACAATATTCCTAGTTGTCTACTCAAGGAGTGTAGTTCTTCCCTTTTATATCCATTGCTAAAGGTTTTTAATCTATCCCTTGAAACTTCTGTCTTTCCATCTCTTTGGAAAGAATCTTATATCATTCCTCTTCACAAGAAAGGTGGGAAGTCTGATATACAAAATTACAGGGGCATTGCAAAACTGCATGCTATTCCTAAATTATTTGAAAAAATAATCACTTCGAATTTGCAGCATTTCTGCAAATCATTTGTTTCCCCTGTTCAACATGGATTCGTAAAGAATCGGTCAACTACGACCAATCTGCTTGAGTTTACTTCCTTGGTTAATGATGCGTTCCTTTCGAAAATGCAAACTGATGTCATTTACACTGACTTCAGTAAGGCGTTTGACTCTGTGCACCATGACATTTTACTTTTTAAACTTGACCGAATAGGTTTCCCTCTGTCCCTTTTACTTTGGATTAATTCTTATTTAAAAGGTAGTACCCGAAGAGTAATACTGAGGTTGACTACCTCTAAAAGGGTTCACGTTACTTCTAGTGTTCCTCAAGGTAGTCATCTTGGACCTTTACTCTTTACACTTTTTATAAATGATCTTCCCTCTGTTATATCAAATGCCCGTGTACTCATGTATGCGGACGATGTCATACACTAACCCCCTACATCATTCTCGTCTACAAGACGATTTGAACGCTATGCAACTTTGGTGTTCGGCCAATCAATTGCATCTAAATTGTTCAAAGTGTATGTTTATAACTTTTAATCGTACTACACCTTATCTTGTCAGTTATACAATCGACAATATCCCTTTGCAACGTATACTAACATTTAAGGATCTAGGCGTTATTTTTGATTCTAAACTCTGTTTCAATCTTCATATAGATACCATTGTTAATGAGGCAAAAGGTGTACTTGGATTCATTAAACGATGGTCTAAAGAGTTTAACGATCCTTTTATAACAAAACTTCTGTACATCTCTCTTGTTCGCCCTATCCTTGCATCTGGTCTCCACAGTATATCAACAGCCAGGATCGTATTGAATCTGTTCAGAAGCAATTTCTGCTTTTTGCCTTACGAGGTTTAAATTGGGACCCTAATCTTCGGTTGCCGTCCTACTCCAGCAGACTGCTTCTTCCCGAGGACAATTCTCGGTGTTGTCCTTCTACATAAGTTGATTATTGGCGACATAGATTCTCCTTTTCTGCTAGGGCGTCTTCAATTCTCTGTTCCGGCTAGACCAACCAGAAATTATCGCCCCTTATTACTATCTACGTGCACAACAGATTACGCTATGCACAATTCTTTTCGCGTGCTATGTAAAAATTATAATAGTTTGCATCACGTTTTCTCTACCGAACTGTCTCTACCCCTAATAAAATCGTTGCTTTCAGGATACCTTCGGGAAGTCGCTGACCATTCCCAGCTATGAGCAGGGGCATAGCTAGCCGGACAGGCTGAAAAATTTTCCCCCACCGTGTCGGCGATTTCCCATTACTTTTCTCTTTGTCCTATCCACTTAACACTCTTTATCTAACTTACATTGCTTTACTTTATTAACAATTTTCTTACTTTCTTTTTTCCTATTTATTGTATTTTCTTTATTAATATAGCAAATTAAGATTATTTTTAATTTCACTTGAGATCACTTTTTTCCTACTTACAACCTTCTGCTTAGATGTAGGCTCTAATAGCGTCACTGACAAAATTAGCTGTGAAAAGGGGCACAGCTGGCCGGACTGGCAAATAAAACACCTCCATCGGTCGGTGATGCTATTTAGAAAATTGTATCCTATAACTAGGCTTTTAGCATATAATTATATTGTACAATCTTTTAAATAATGAGGAAGACACTCGTTTTGTCGACCATTAATAAATAAATAAATAACTAAATAAATAAATAAATAAGAGGTTCTGATCGGGAGCTCCCGACTACGGAATACCCTGAACCCTCTTATTCCAACGCCAAATAAATTTAAAAAAAGTTCGCTTGGCAGGGTTCAAACTCGCAACTGACCGCATTACTTGCTGTCGACTCTACTCAACAGCCACAACAGCAAAAAAAAATGTCCCCGGTAGGGCTCGAACTTGCGACAGACCGCACCACTTGCTATGCCTCTACTCGGAAGCCATACCAGTAATTAAGTACTTATGAGAAAAAAACAAACTAAAAAAGCATTACAGAAAAAAGTTGCTATTACAATGCTGTTAGAGTGCTAAGCAGTCGAGTATGAATGTACATGTATACAGAAATTCTTGAAGTATTCGTTAGGTGTCCCATTCAATTGCGCAGTTGCATTAAACTTTGGTTGTCGATATCGATTTTTATCGATTGCTTGGAAACGGCAGGCACTAGGAGCACCACATTTAAAATTTCATGTCTCTAGCTCTTGTAGGTTCTGAGATCCTTGCGTTCATACATACGGACAGACAGACAGACGGACATGGCTAGATCGACTCGGCTATTGGTGCTGATCAAGAATATATATACTTTATGGGTTCGGAGATGCTTCCTTCTGCCTGTTACCCATCGCCATGGGTATAAGGGTATAAATACCCATTTTTAATGGGTTCCGGGTATAAACAGCGATGGCGTTCTATCGCACTTATCATATGGAAGAGAGTAAGATAAAGCAGCTTAGACCAACTGCGTATAAAATTCGTTGTCCTATTCGTTTACTCTAGTTGTCCAGCCTATATGTTGTATGGTTAGTGGTAAAACTCAATATTCACATGTAAGTGGTAGCGTTTTATTTATTTGAAAAAAAAAACGACTAAACGACTATTATTACTATTAAGATTAATTTTTATAAATTCATATTAATAATTGTACTATAATAAATTATAGCAAAGGAGCGCTAGAGTTCAGGCCTTAAGCTGACTGGTTAGGTTTCATTATTTTATAAATTTGTAAGTTAGAGAGAGTTGTAGAGGGTGAGTCTTAGTAGACTTAAGTAGATCTATAGTAATGTGTTAAGGAAGTTGGTTCTCGTTATTTTATATATATTGTATATTTATTTCAGCGACTTATGTGTTGCGCGATTCAGATAAAACTGAACTATTGGAGTTTACAATAAGTACGATTATGCCCTAATGCATCACGCCACAAAGTCATGGTCGACAAGCCGACTCAGCATTCCATACAGTGCAGCGCTTCACTTCGAATATGAAGTGTCAGCATACCACTGTTGGTCGTTCTTAGCGCAGAGCGCTAAACTCAAATGTGGCGCATCAGCATTATTTAAGCAAAGCTACTTAATAACTAGGGCAATACATTGTGCAATATTTAACTTAGTTGTCAGCTTATAGCCTAAGTTATACCACCCAACTGAAAAAAAACTATCGCGTTTCTACGCCAGTCCGCTTTTCAGTAGCGCTTTTAAATTTGACACGTATATTTCTTATTTATTGTTTCGGTTGCAGTAGCATTTTTTGGCCATGAGTTAGTTTCAAGCTCCCACATGTTTTGTGTATTTTTTTTTTAACTTTCGTACTATCATGTATGACTTTAATTTAAGCTGCTATCGATATATATATATATCTTAGCATGGAGGTTATCGCTCAATTGAATTGCAATCTCTAGCATCTCTCTCTCTCTCTCTCTCTTTTGATGAAATAGCTAAACACACGACTTGTGAAAATCACCTAATTTAAATAAACATGAATTAAGAACACAAAAGTGGTGTTAGCAGTTGTCAAAATGAGCAATATTAACGACCAACAACGAGACGTCATCACTTCACTGACTAGCGCCAGTCAGCAGTGCAATAAGCGGATCAAAATGCAAGCGGGTCAGCAATTTCTACAAAAGTACCACCGTTTGCAATGCTAAACTTCGAGGGACTGTACAGTGCAAGATTATTTCCAACGATTCGAATGGGCACTGCAACTGAGTTAAATTCCTGATGCTGAACACCACCATTATGCAAGGGTGCATATGGGAGCTGAGCTGAATTCAGCGCTACGTATTCTGATAAGTCCAAGGCAACCAGAGACGCTACAAGCGAGATTAAGGAAGTGCTAATTAATCACTTCGATGGCAAACGTAACATTTACGCAGAGAGCTTTAAATTTCGACAACTACGCCAGGAACCAGAGGACTCACTAGTAGCGTTTGTTCTACGCTTAAAACAGGCAGCATCATTTTGCAATTGCGAATCGTTCTAGACAGAATGCTAACAGAACAAATGCTTTTCGGCATGCAAAATCGCAGCACCTGCAATGAGGGAATCGCAAAACAGCCAACCACATTTGGAGACGCATACGAGGCTGCATATTCCAGGGAATTGTTACTACCGTCAGCAAACATGGTTAATGACATAGATAAAGAGCCTACATGCAAACTGGGCTTCTCGCCACTCAGTAGGAAGCCCTCAAGCGGAGTGAAGCAAGGAAGCAAATGCTACGGATGTGGGGGGCGACACTTACGCAAGGATTGCAAATTCAAAAACGAGAAATACTAAGTGTGTGGTAAAGTAGGGCATATAAGTAAGGTATGTAAAGCCAATACGAAACAGATCTCCGAGTCAACAGATTCAGATGCCCCGGAAGAAATACAATTTATTCAACAATTGAATATCAACGCCATCAAGTCAGTAGGTAGAAAAATCATAACGATGAAGATTGACGGAATAAAAATACCAATGGAAACGGAACAAAGGTGCTCCATGCAGCATAATGAATGGAAAGACCATTCGGAAAATTAAACCTTTAATACGATTAGAGTAAACTGACCGCAAATCTTCGAGTTATACGGGGCTTAGGATCAACTGCTGTGTGTGGGCGAGAATGGATCTTCCAATTTTCAAAAGAAATTGATTTTACTGAGATTTTTAATAACAATTCTGTCAACGCCAAGGACATAGATCAGGAAATTTTCTCGACGAAAGGAGCGCGGTGAAAACAATAGCAGTACAAGCGGCGTGACTGATTTGAGTAAGTGGACATAACTAGAGCAAATAATAACAAAATTTGATACGATATTTGACTCAGCAGCAGGAACCTTCAAGGGACTAGGACTAGCAACATTGGGAAAATTACAGAGCCTAGGATTTAAATTGAACAAATCAAAATGTGTATTCGCCGCATTTTCGGTTGAGTTTCTGAGACACAAGATTGGCGCAGAAGTCATACATAAATCAACTAAACATATTGAGGCCATCTAAAAGCACCGAAACCATCTATAATCGAACAGGTGCAGCTGAAAGCAGCTTACTACTCAAAGTTCATACCAAATCTGTCAACCTTGAAAAGACCGCTGCGTGATATACTCAAAGACTACAATTCTACAGGTCAGAAGAGACGGAATTAGCTTACAACTGAATTAAACAAATTCTAGTTTCACCGGAGGTGCTTATGACCCAACACTTCCATTAGTGCTAGCAACGGACGCCAGCAAAATAGGTATAGGCGCTGTACTATCGCATTGTTTGGTTGCGCCTACGCAAGCCGTACAGTTAGTCCCACAGAACACCTATATAATGAAGCCCTAGCAATTGTATGGGCAATACAAAGATTCTTCAAATATTTACACGCCTGAAGTTGGACATTGGTTACCGATAACAAATCACTTGCACAAATTTTACACCCTACCAAATCACTACTGACGCTATGCATCTCTAGGATGGAAAACTAAGCAGATTTTTTAAGCAACTTCAATTTCACAGTAACTACCAAAATATCAAAGGAAAATGTAAATGCTGACTACTTTTCCGATTACCACTCAAAACTTCTTTATTTATAACGGACTTCACTCAGATGGCTTAAGTATAAGGCCTGAGTTTCAGCTATCCTCTGATTATATCCCACTAGTAGTTGGTTACGACTGTAGTCCAAAGGGCAAAACAATTAAAGGTCGCCTGCTGCCTCCTGGGGCCAACATTGCTGCTTTTCGACAAGATCTAGACCTAAACTTGGAAATACTTGCACCAGAAGACATCAAAGATGTATATGAGCTATCCCTGAGCAAGGCTCACTCGGCAGCCCTCATTTCTGCACCACTAAGCCGATCAGAAAGCTCACGACGACAAGTGAGACTTCCGCCAGCAATCTTTACACTACTGCTGATTAAGAGAAGGATTAGAAGGCAGTAATGTCGTACCGGAGATCCAAATGTGGACGAGATCTACCGCAAAGTGTCGAACCGTGTCAAAAAGTTGCTGCAGCTGAATAGACAAAGGGAAACCGACCGTTTTCTGGAAAATGTTTATCCAGATGAATCTTCAAGTCACTCCCTTTGGAGACTGACGAGAAGGTACAAACAGCAAGTGACCCCCAATTTTCCGATCAAAAAGTTTGATGGATCTTGGGTCAGATCCCCAAAGGAACGGGCTGATGCATTTGCCGAAGACTTGGAGGATCGCTTCAAGCCTTTTAATACAAGCTCGGTAAGTATGAACAAAGGGTTCAACTCACACTGGAGAGCCCAGCTAAGCCTTCCAGTTGCTCCTATCACTGCCAACGAAGTATCAGACCACATAGCAGCACATAAGACAAGAAAAGCTACTGGCGAAGATGGGATCGACAACAAAACACATAAAGCATTGCCGGCCAAAGCAGTCCTATTTTTAGTGTTAATCTTTAATGCGGTATTGAGACTGGGGCATGTTCCAAGCCAATGGAAAATGGCGAGGATATGCATGATCCATAAGGCTGGAAAGAGCCCCTCGTCCCTAGACTCATTCAGGCCTTTTTGTTTGTTGCCCACGATTGGAAAACTCGTCGAACGTTGTCTGCTTAGGAGACTGCTGTCTATAGCTACAATTAAAGAAAACATTCCCCCTAAATAGGGTGGTGAATACGTAGTGGCAGCGTACTTAAATATAAAACAAGCCTTCGACAGAGTCTGGCATGATGGACTATATATTGAATGTGTCTACGAAGCTACCGACGTCCTGCAGCAATATCTTCACAAATCTGAAATGTGGGCCAAGCGTTGGAATATTGGCATTCATTTAAATAAATGCGCCAATGTGACCTATGCGCTACGGAGGGACATGTGTCCGGGAGTTTTCTTGCGCGGTCAATTGGTGACGCACTACAACAGCCACAAATACTTAGAGGTGCACTTAGACAGGCGCTTGAACTTTAACAAACACATCACAAATGTCTCTGTAACCCTGAAGAACAGAAAAGGAAAACTTAGATGGCTTCTGAGCAGTGGAAATACGTTGTCTTTGAAAAATAAAGTCACCATTTATAAATCCTGCATAACTCCCCCGTGGCGATATGATATTCAGGTATATGGCATTGCTGCCAAGTCCCGTCTTATAAAAATCAGTCTGGTGCCCCCTGGTATTTGAGAACTTCCGACTTGGAAAAAGACTTAGGACTGCCTAAAGTCGGGGACGTTACAAATATACAGGCCGCAAATTATACAGCGCGACTGAGAAACCACCCTAATCTTCTGAATAGGCGTAGAATTGGAGGACTCCGAACGCGGAGGAGACTGCGAAGGTCTCATTCAATCGATCTCCCAAATCGACTGCCAATTTGTATATTAGACTTACCAGTAGAAGAAGTAGTTTGTAAATATTCATATAAATTTAATTTAAGTTGTTCCTGATAATAACTGAAAAATTAAAAAAAAAGCAAATTTAAATTTAAAAAAAAAAAAAAAAAAACTCAACACGAGTAATGGTATCCATTCTAACACAGCAAATCGGGACGAAGTCGATCATTTTATAATACGAAAAATATATCAGCTTCCAGTTACAGCTTCGCTAGTTGCTCGAGAAACTAGAAAAGATCAGGATTTTGGGCAAAATCTTGCAAATACTGGAGAGCTGCCAATGTCTGACAGGAAATGGATACAAATCACCAGAGTGCAAGTATGAGATGTCATCTGACTGCATTACTTTTAAACATCGTGTGGTTATCCCGACTAAACTTCAAAAATTGATCCTGGACGAACTACACAGGGCCTACTCTTTTGTCTACTGACCAGGGATCGATAAGGACATTGAGAATACGGCAATACGGCTGTGGGAAACATGCAAATCGACCTCCAAAATACTCAGATCACTATTGGGAATACCCTAAGCGCCATAGGAGCGTTTTCCATTTGCTCGAGAAGCAATGCCCCAAACCTGGATACCGTTACTCCAAGTTGGCGCCACCACGACGTTGTAAGCTGCCCGTTTGCTGCGAAGTGGAAATGGGGCTTAGTAAACAGTCTTTAAGCAGCGCTCCTTGAAAAGGTCGCCGATGCTCACCCGAAAGCTAAGTTTCTTATACAGTAACATTCCAGTATACTTGGTGCTTCTGCCAGGATGACAGGGGCTGCCATCTATAATCACCATCTGTAGTTAACCATCTGGCACTTCAAGGCATTGAGCTTGATGTTCCACCTGCGTGCCCAGCTCTCAAGCAATTGAATGTATTCCTGGGCCTCGTCAGTGGGCGGAGTGGACGGAGTAAAATATTGGCATGTCATCGGCAATGTGACCATCATGTGTTTGCCTGGCGTGGAAAACTCGTGTAGGTCGTCTGGAGCTTGCTCTTCGTATGTAAGGCAGTATTTTCCATTCCGGTGAAGATAGGGAACGGTTCTCCAGGGTTGGCGTTTCATGTTTTTTTGCGAGTATCCTGAGTCATGGGAATAAATCATGCTCTCCAACCTTCTGAAGAAGGATGAGTCTATGGATCTGCTAAGGGTCTCCTTAAGTTTCCGTTCTGCTCTTTACCAGGTTTGGGTGTTAAGCTGACTATTTGCACTTATCTGTCTCTAGATGACACCGAGATCAGTGTGCGCGTTGGTAGAACAGAGTGCCTCTGTTGCCGTACGGGTATCTTGCGAAGAAGAACCTATGGCCACTTCCTTCGCTTGACGATGCGGCAGCCTGACTAGCTAGCTGGTTGAAGGCTTCGCGCATTGCTGCTATCTGCGCCCCACAGCCAGTTTTTTCCATTCGCCTCTCGCCAAATTTCTACCTCCAGCCGTATTGAATATGACTGTGAAGTCATCAGCCTGCTCATTTGGTCTGCAATAGACTGTTATAAAGTCCACGTTACCAGCATCAGTGGAGGCTACCACTGTCGAATATTGGTAAACGTGATAAGCAATGCTCAATTGCTGGAAGTGAATTAAGTTAATCCGGACGACGATGGCGCAGCCGCCACTAGCTGATTGATTATGAGTCCAATGTACCTTACGTACGTTCTCGCTGGCTAAAGCTGGGGGCATTGTTCCCAGTCGGGGAAGGGGAAGGGTAATAGAGAAAAAGAATGAGCTATAGAAAGTAAGATTTCCTCAAGCGTCCATAGTGGTGTTATGTTGGGATACCGTGGACGTATGCCCCTCTCTACCATGGTCACAAGGTTGCTCACCTATTTTATGGCTTTAATCTTTTAGCGACGGCGTACTACGGTGCGACACGATTTCCGGATTATAACGGATTATAAAATTTTTGTTTCGGAACGTAATTTGCTAACCCAAAAAAATAGGTATAAGGAAATTCAATAGATACACGAATTGATATTACAATAAAGTAAAATTGTATTATTATATTAATGATATGCCTTTAAATATATATATATATATATATATATATATATATATATATATATATATATATATATATATATTTCGGAGTCATTTTTTATTGATAAGCGATTGCTGGTGACGGCGGGCACGGTTAATGAGAGCACTGGCTGGCCGGCAGTACCGTGCCCGCCGTCACCAGCAATCGCTTATCAATAAAAAATGACTCCGAAACGTACACAGCCCAGTGACAAAAGTACTTAAGACAAAGGTTACAAAACTAATAAAACTCAATAGCAACAAATCGGACATTAATCGGTGGCTTCGCTTTTGTAGCTATGGCGCTTCCGCCTATCCCTTGGTGGTAAAAATTATTTACATTTCACACTCTTTTATTTCAGATTTAAGACGATACTATTAGTTTTTAAAACTTCATTCTTTACATACTACATATAAAAAAAATACCACACGATCGTGAACAAGCGGAGAAACTTGCCAAAGGCAATTGTCAGTTGACGCAAGATTAAAAATTTTAGTTAAGTGCGAGTTGCCTGCACTTATGGTGAACAAGATACCCACGCAAATAAACATATAACAGTTTCTGCTACAATAATCACTCGTGCAACAGGTAATTTATGTGCAAATCACTAAATCTACTTCACCCTACCTTAAGAACTCTCTGGGGCGGTAAGGGGCGATAGAAATGGGTATTTCAAAGTGAATTGTTCGTGCAGGTAAACAAATTTCAAGATTTTATATTTACTGGGCAGATGCAATAATAACGAAATGATGGTGAAATGCAGGCGTTTATGCGTCAGAACAGGAGTGGAAAAAACTAGTCGAATTATCCGTGTCGTAGGTGTTCCGAAGGGGCGACCTGTGGCGGACTCCGATATTTGCTGGGTCAAAACATTAAATTCTTCTTTCGAGCTTGCCTACCAGAAATTTGGAGGTCTTAAATCTAAACGCGCTAGCCTGCATTCAGACTCGCTTGCTTTCAATTTTCAAATTATCGCTTTCACTGAGACCTGGCTGTTGAGTACTTATAGATGTCGAGTCTGCACTTTCGTCGCAACGCATTGATTTCCCATCTCCGAGATTAAGTTGGTGGCTTTAAGAGTTGTATTTGTACTTTTTCTATCTTTATTATATCTTAATGCATTTATGATAGAGACAGAGATAAATATAGAGAACTTTTAGTTGTTCTTGGGGACTTTAAGATATCGAGTGGTCAGCG